ACTCATTTGAATCAAACTGTGAAATATGATGTATGAGGAACTATGTAATGTTTTGAACGACCAACAATAAAAAAAAAAAAAAAAAAAAAAAAAAACAGTTCTTTAGGATGGATTTGGGGCCTTGGGGACATTAACATTTCAATTTCCCCAGGTGCTGTTCTGGTTTCGTGGACTCCATTCCCAATAATGATCTCCACTTTGATTTTGGTACTCTACATTAGACCTGATTTACCTAACTACATTAACTCCCTATCTTTAAATCTGGCTTCAAAAGCAGTGTCAGATCTTGAAGCCAAGGACCCTGAATTGCCTCCAGAGTAGATTTTTCCCCCTTGAAAAAATTTTTAAAAATACTTCTACGGTTTCTTTCTCTAGGTGTGATGCAGACGTATGCATAAAGAGTTGATCGGTGTCATTGTTGGTCAGGATAAGGGGAAAGGAGAGAGTTAATCTCATTAATTATCACCTCTGAGAAGATCATAAGTCTTATCGATAGTAATTAAAATGATCTGTTACAGAGACCTGATTGGGATTTTTCTTCAGTTGGTTATGTGAGGAGACTGGCAAATACAAATTTGTGCCACCCTTAATGAGAAGGTCCTATTGAACAACTGATAGCAAAATACTGTTAAGATGCGGGATTAGTTCCCAAGTGAATCAAGCTGCCAAAATCTTCTCAGAGGAGGGCCAGTCAAGGAGAGGCTAAACTGGGAAGATGCTCAGGTGATTTAGGACAGAGGACCCTAGACACAATCTAAAATTTTTAACGGTGGAGAGTAAACACTTTCGTTTCTGAAGACTTTTAGGTTCCAAAGTTCTCCATTAAGATGAAAATAATTCTGGAAGGGATAAGACCTTCCAGCTATTATGCCTGGATCTTCTTCATCAAGAGACCCAGATTGGAATACCAGATCATCTACCGACTAGCTCTTTGAAAAACTTTCTTGAAATTGTTTTTTTTTTTTTTTTTGTCCCAAACTGTAGGGACAATTGTAACACTTGCTTTTTAACTAGTAGATTTGAAAATGCTTTATCCACAGTGTTGAGATAATTGTTCATTATTATGAGTTATTCCCATTTTATCACGATATAGCCAACTACCTGAGAGAAAATTCTCTGGAAGGACACTGGGCATAAGGACATAGTGACGTGGACTGGTAGGAGCTGGCCCCAGGACACTATTGTCATGGTCACTTTCTCTGGAGGGTTAAATACCTCTATTAAGGTAGTTCAAGAACCTTCATGGTTTATGGTTCTATAGGATATCCTCAGTGGCGCCTTCTCCTTGCCCACAATTCTGTGGAGACACACACTCTGCATTGTCAACATACAGGTTGACATCTATTTTAAATTTATTTACATTTTGAGTTTTTATTTTCTTATTCAAAGTGTTATTTTTTAATTTAAGTAACTCAAAATAGACATCTTGGATAGGCTGGAAATGAGACCAAGTTCAGGTCTGGGGAATCTTTATGGATGAAGAACTTAAACGACATAAAAAATAATCACCTCATTTCATCCAAATTACACAGCATTATCTCCCCGGGAGCATCCAGAGCAAATCTGCTTACCCACAATGATTATGCCTTTTCCTCTTCTCAAGCTGAGCTGACAGATCTCTCCAGGATATTAGATATCTATTCTTTAGAGTAATGATCAAATAAACAATTATTTATCAATCACCTCCATTGACTTCATTAACTTGTTTTTAGTTAGAGGCATTGATTTTAAAATAGCATTTGCAATACAGAGTGAGCAGGCATTTCTTTTTACAGTATGTTTTCCTTTTGGCCCTGCCATCATTCTGTTATCTATGCAGGGCCTCTGTTCTTTTCCGGTTAAACCGGTCCATGGGTTGCCATGGAAACACAACTGCTATACAACCCCGACCCAATAAAGCTTTTGAGATAATAGACTTTGTCGATGTCCGTCTAGTGACCCTGCCAGGAACCAGAATTTCTCCAGCAGACACAAAAAGACTCACACACACACAAACCACTTACTCCATCTCACAAAAACTAAGAAAAAAAAAACCTCCCAAACCACTTTGGCATGTACCATTTTGTAGGGTGTCTAATGCCAACCAGGGGAACACCTGTTGCCTCATGAACTTTTGAAAACCACCTGGGTTTTTTATTTTCGAGTTTACCATATCAGCAGCCAGGGGAGAGATTTTATTTACATTCTCCTTCCCTGTCCCTCATTCTTTTTTTCTCCCAGGAAGTGGCTGCCAAGGGAAATGAGGCAGGAAAACTTTCCTTTTCATTGCCATACTGGTCTGAAAAAAAAATCTAGTTCTGACTGTGATGTTTATTTACCTCTACTAAGTGGACACATGGCGGGGGGTGGTAATGAAAAAT